CACTTGCCGTTTTCATGATTAGAAAGTAGATCTAGGTGTAATGTCAATGCCATTCTCTTCTGAAACAAAGGATCAGATAACTTTCGGATTAGATCCAAAAGAAAAAGGACTCTGCCCATCTCATAGTCACACTAGATTCATGAAAAATCTGCTCATTTAAGTACAAATCCTGTGTAAATTGACAGTTCAATGGTGAAATGTCATCTCAACTCTGTGACAGAGAATGCCACCGTAAAACTCCTTAGCATAGCCTACATTGGGATGTAAGACTGTCGTACGAGAAAAATAGACTACGACACTTATAAAATTTTAACTCTGCATACCCATATTATCAAAATGTTCAAAATTTTACACAACTGAACTATTTTCATTACTGGTTGCATTTCAAACCAAAAAAAGTGTGTTTGTTTAGTTTCCACTTCATCACTGAGGAAAAAGAATTACAGCAGACTGTTTGACACAAAAGCCATTTAACACAGAATTACTGTTACCGTGAATTTTAAACGATTTCAAATCCATCTTGTTTTGAAAGAGGACAAATCATACAAATCCCATGAAGTTTCTGCAGGGTTTTATTGCATGTAAAAGTTTACGTCTCCTGCAAATATACAGAAAAAAATATATGACAATAGTATCGTAGTATTGTGAGTAAATATTTGAAAGTGAACAAGTCGCACAAGTACGGTATTTAATTTAATTGACCTACATAGATCTAGCATAACTACTACAGGCAGCAATAAACCTAGATCTAATGAATCTAAGTTCCACTTACCATAGGATTTATATAATTTTCTAAATTATATTATTGTCTCCATCGCTGCAACGGATACAGTTGCAACAGAACCGCACTTTCAGTATGAGACAGTATTTTATCTTTCAGCCTTTACAAAATGAAACCTTGTAGATCTAATAAAACTGTTTGAATGAACAAAATTTTATCAAAAGGATGTTTTTTTCTTGTGGGTGCTATGGTTTTATCGCAATGACGAGTGAATTGTCATACACTGCCGACAACGTTACAACCACAACGAAGACTTTGTTTTCTTTACAAAAACAACTTAACTGTAAACTGTCTACAATACAAACATTTTGAATTCAATCCTAATGATACAATTAACCGACTGAGGGGTTGAACAAACAAAGAAACAGTAATAAAGAGGTAGAGGAAGCATCATTGTTGTGGTTGCATCGGGGGTGACATTTCCACTTTGTCATCACTTGGTCACCTCTTTGTCATGATTTCCACTTCTATGGAAAGCACTGTGCCCTTTCTGTGTTCGCAGTGACGGTATTGTTAAAACAGATTGAGTAAATTGTCTTAAGACGACTATGATTCCATTTATATTCTTAATTTGCAAAATATACCATGTCAAACGTGACGGTCGTATCGAACTTACTTTAACGTGATGGTTGTATCTCATGCTGCAAAGTTGGTGTGACAACAGTCAACAGGATGTGCACTCATTGTGAAGATTCAAAAGAAAAAGAGTCTTCTGGTTTTGAATATAGCAGTTGGAGCAGTTTCCTTTCAGAGCATTTTAAAGCACAAAATTGAGAAGACAACGAAACAAAATGATTGCGTTGTGGTCAGCAAAAAGTGACGACGACATAGATCTACCTTTAAAGGGACTACTTTTTTTGTAGACTTAGGCAATTAATACTTATGTTTTGCCTGTTCACATAATTGAAAGTAGCTCCAGTGTCTATATAAGTTAAGAACAAGTCCCCCCTTCACTCCCTAGCCCAAGGATGATGTTGTTTTATTAACAACAGTTTTGCGCGACATACAATACAACCAAAACGCGATTTTTTACTATAGGCCCATGGGCAGTGTATCAGGACGAAATGGAAAGAAAAACATGCGTGAGAGAAGCCATACATTCCTATTTACAGGGGGATACAAAATTAAGCACACAAGTCCAGTTCTTTTTTTATTTATTTGGCTTCCATTGGGCTTTGCACAGAATTACGTTTTTGGAAAGAAAGAACACCCCTATAATTCATGAAGATTTAGTAGATTAAAAAAACAAATAGAAAGATACCTATTAATGCTATTGCATGTTATCTCTTGAGATATTCGTTAGTGCTCTACACAAGAAAAACAAGTAGATTTAGCAGTAAAACAATGTTTTTGGGGTTCTAAAAAGCCTACCCCTCAGTTGGGTGACGTTTTGGCAATGGCTCATATGCATTTATTAACAAATGGTGAGAGAGTGTTTTTATGCGAAGTGTGTTTTTGTCCTAACATTTCAGATTTTAGATATAATGGTAATCTTTCCTTTACCCAGTACTGCAACTGCACAACCTACAGCAAACGTGTAAACACTAAGGCACCAATGAGATGGGATGCCCATGCAAAAAATTTTTTTACTGCAGAAAAATAATCAAGTCAAAGTGATAATAAGACAGCTGTGGTTGCTTAAGTAAACATTTTTTAGCGTGGTCTCAACATGTTAGTTTTTAGATTTGATTTTAAAAAGAATACGAGTTGTTGGCTCATATTGATTGATTGATTCTTTTTTTAATTGTCACTTTTACTAAATTATTCTTTTTTGCATAAACTTCTCCAGAATGGAATTGGATGATCCAGAGTTTGTTGGTCTTATAAATTTGTTTGATGAGGCGAATGACCTCTTTGGGAATGGATTCCTGGAAGACTTCTTTCCCCCATTGCGATTGTACCCAACCAAGAAGTTTACGAGAACTATGGAACTCTTTGGGAAATTTAATCAATTTATTTATAGTCGCTTGCAGGAGCAAAAGGAGAAGTTTGACCCAGGTAAGACAACTTCTTTTCTCCATCTGCTAAGACTCAACTCTTGCAGCTTTGAGCACTACTGAACTGTTTTCCCATGCTAGCAATTTAATTGTTGCTGGTAATTTTGTCGACTCATGAAAATAATCACAAAACAAAGTCTATGGAATTAATATGCAATTTTTTTGGTCATGATTGTTTTTGTTGGGGTTTTTTTGGCTATTTTTCCTAAAATGAAGATCTAACCTTGTAAATTTTTAGCTTATTTTTTAGATTAATTAACTTGCCATGAAAATCCAACTCGGTGCTTACATTGGCCAGGTAGATATGTAAATGCCACTTACTCCAGTAAACGGGAGATCACAAGGTGCACGCCACTTACATTACCAGTTGGAAATCTGTAGATCTAGTCTTTCTCACTTTCCCATTCACTGTCATCTCTTCGCATCATACATACTTGTGACAACAATCCTCTTCAAGGCCATAATCAAGGATAATTCCATCATTTCACCATCTAAATAATCTCTTGGGAGTCTTATGTTTTAAGCAACAGAGGAACAGTATTTTGATAACAGAAGCATAATTACACAAAATTTCACAAAATCAATCAAAGACTTATACAGGCTCAAAGGTTAATCAAGAAGAGGAGTGTCTCCTTGACCTTTCCCACACTACATAACACATAGGTCTCGTTAGTTTGGATGGAAATAGAGTTATATTCCTCTGAAGACAAACACCTTAAAGTGAGAATACTCGACGATGGCATAAGGACAGAGGCCTGTCTTGTGAAAAAATCTAGTCCTTGTCTCTGAATGACTTAATTATTGGCTGTTTTCAATTGTGATTTTGCGAGTAAAGATTTAAGGCGTGGATAATTGGCAAGTGCTCTGGTGTGGTTTGCTTCTTCTTTCCTATCAAACATCCATCGTCTTTATCTCCCCTTCTTCTTTTTTATGTTTGTTACTCTCTTGTAACTCCTCTAATCTTCTGGCGCTCATATGACCTTATGCAGTTTCGAGCGCCGTAAAACCTCTACTAAACAAACAAGATTTTTGGCTAAAGAATGTCCCTTCAAAATGTTTTCTTAGTATTTAATCACAGAGAAAGTGAAGACTGTTCGTTTTTGTTTTTATTTAACTGCAATTATAGTAAATTGTACGCTAAATAAATTCAGTATTCAAGGCCCAATTGCACCAACATGCAGACATAAGAGTAAAGATGCTTACAAATTAAAAAATTAAAAATTAGCGCTTTATAAGTTTATATTATATTAAGAATTTACAAGTCCTAGACCCTTCTCTTTAATACTGTCAACAACTTTTGAATTGTGTTCTTGTCCAGTCCTCAAGCCTCTTCAGCAAGATCAAGTTTGGATCTCCTAACTTAAAGATATATGATAAGGAGGTTGAGGTTGATGTATAATCTATTATGATATTATGACTGCTGTAAGGGCAACCTCGAGAGCCCCTTGACATAATGACACACCGATCCAGTGTCATGTCTATTTGAGTCATCCTTCATAAAAATGTTTGGCTTATTATGCATTTTCAAAATATTGGATTTATATGTGTATTGACAAGCATAAAGCACTTACCTGCTTCTAGTTTTTTCGGGAGAGAGAGAGACAGAGAGAGAGAGAGAGAGGGGGGGGGGGGGAGGGGGGGATGGCAAATAAGTAACTGAAATTAACGTCAACAGAAATGGTTCAGAATAACATTTATTCTGTTTTGTGTTGTCTTGTTTTGTATTTGTTTGTTTTTTGTTGTTGTTGTTGTTGTTGTTGGTTTTTTTGGGGGGGGATTATGTACCAGTTTTCATAAAGTGGGTGAATCTGCTACATTCAAACCTATGCACATCGTTCAATCATTTTAAGTTTTGCTGTACTGTAAACACAAAACGTTTTGCTGTTTTAAAATGTAATTTTTGCCAATTTCGCGAACTGAGACCGACTCACTTGCAAATTAAATCAAATCCTTCAATGATGGCTATACTGTACAGGTACATATTTTTTTAGATTTTGGTCAGTGTTTTACGGCGCTCACAACTGCGTAAGGTCATATGAGCGCACTGGACATACCAAACATTTTCAGTTGATAGGTAATTTTGAATTTTATCCGAGTGGTGGCCGAAGCCTAATCTTATCGATTTTGGACCACCAAGGGATCTTTCTTGTGGGCAATTTGCTCACAGGACCTCCGAAATTTGTAGCCCTTGTTTGAGAAGGCTAGATGTAGATCTTACGTACCATAAAACCAGGGGTGTGGCTGAAAGACAGCTGTAAGAAGGAGCCAAGGAGAAGCAGTAGAACGGCCACAGAAAGAGTCAGGAGCCCAGAGTAGAAGCGAAGACTGTTAACCATCCCTCCCCTAACCCATTTCTCTTTGTTGTAAGACAAAACAGCTGACTCATTTGTCTGATGGAGCTGTGATTAGAAAGCACAATATGAATATCACATGTACGCTGACGATACACAGTTATATAAATCTGTTCCACCATCAGATGTTGAAACCTTGCTTACTACGATGGGTCTGTGCATTGATGACATCAAAAAGTGGATGGTTGATAATAAGCTCCAGCTTAATGAAAATAAAACTGAAATTCTGTTATGTAACCCAAAGAAAAGCCATATCCCCGTAGACATTGATCATATTTGTACTGCAAATGAAAAACTGTATTTTACTAATAAAGTAAAAAATCTGGGAGTGTATTTTGATTCAAAATTGTCAATGGAACATCATATCAATTATTTATGTACCATTTTATTTTGTGAATTGCGTAGAATTGGTCATATGTCTATGTTTTTGAATGAACACTCGTTGAAAACGCTCGTTTCATCTTTCTTGTTTTCACGCATCGATTATTGCAGTGCTTTACTAGCTAACTTACCAAATACATCTCGTCACAAGTTACAACGTTTTCAAAATCATGCTGCTAGGCTTGTACTAAAGAAAAAGAAGAGGGACCACATTACTCCCATGTTAAGAACGTTGCATTGGCTTCCCGTGTCAGCTAGAATGTCATATAAAATTGCAATATTATGTCATAAATGTGTCAATAACAAAGCTCCCTCATATCTTAGAGATCTCATCCAGATTTATGTTCCATCTAGATCAATAAGATCAGGCGATCAGTATCTTTTAAGAGTTCCTAGAAAAGGGGGTAAAAAATTAGCTGAAAGATCGTTCTCCCACCTTGCTCCGTCAGTTTGGAACTCTCTTCCCCAACCCTTGAGACATACAACATCTGAGTCTAAATTTTAAAAATCTTTAAAGACACATTTAATGACATCCTTTTTATGTCAGTAGATTTATGTTCCATACAATGTTATGTAAATGACTATGTATCCCTTTATGTATTTTGTGAATTGCAGTGTATAAATTTTATGCTCATTTCGTGACGATGTGTAAGCGTGTGCGTATGATAAGCAAGTAGATGTGTGTGTGTGTGTGTGTGTGTGTGTGTGTGTGTGTGTGTGTGTGTGTGTGTGTGTGTGTGTGTTTGGCATACATGTGTGTGCACATGTGTGCGTGTTATGTGTTCCTGAGTGTGTATGCGTGTGTTTGTGTGTGTGTATGCGTATATGTGTGTGTGTTTGTGTGTGTATGAGTCTGTGTATTTGTGTGTGTGTGTGTCGCGTGCATGAATATTGTTCGTACATGCATTTATGTAAAGTGCCTAGAGCTGTGTTTACAAGGGAGTGGGCGCTATAGAAATGATCTTCATTATTATTATTATTATTATGTACTAGCTAATGCTCAGTAAGCTCAAAAAAAAAAAGAAAACTTAAGGCTTGAAAGAGGTGTAAATACAATTTGCAAATCAGTATGAGGCAGCACGTGGGAGGAGGGTGGGTTCTTCCTTTTTTTTGCCCCTGTGTTCTTTCAGTCTGTCTGTCTTGCTTTTCCTTGCTCTAATTTACCTTTATTAAAGGCTTTAGTGAATCTGTTTGTGTCTTTTTACTCTGACAATGACAAATTTAAATTGAGATGATTATGATTCTAGGTGACCTCTACTAGCTAGAAAAAGGAGTACTCCATAGATGTAAATACCTTAAGATGTCTTTTTGCTTTTGATGATAATTAATATAGGGAAGTAAAAGATTTGTTTTAGCGTTCATTGTTTCTCAGACAGACCCAATAACATTCTGAGACATTCTCAGATTCCTGGAAAGTTGGATACTAAATTTTCTTAATGGTGGTTTAAACAAATGAACTTTTTTTTGGTCCAGAGAATGTGACAAACTTGACCGATAACATCATCCTAGCCAAGCAGGAAGTGGAAGCAGACACCAAGTCGCCAGTGTCCGCCTTGTTCACAGACACACATGCGTCCCAAACTCTTGGAGATGTGTTCGGAGGTGAGCAAAACAATGATTGCGACCTTCTCTCAGATCATATCTAGTAGCAGTTAATTCTGTATTTTGCTACCCCCACATCGCATAATCAACCAGTCTCTGAAAGTATAACGATATAATATCAGGCTTTTCATCTTCCACACTGAGGGGGAATGAATTTGATTTTGAATTGGAAGAAAACATTTTTAGAGTATGTTTTCTTTTTGAGATTTATCCCTGGTTCTAAAATTGAACTCTTCTAAGTTCATCATCTTCCAAATTGATGCTTTTAGTAGTTCAGTAGAGTAAGATGTTGTTGAACTTTGAAGTAAACGGCAGGACTGTTTTGTGTGGCATTTGTGATGTCCTGTTGTTGCTAAAGAATTGAGATCGATTTTAGTATGGGATGTCTATTTTATTTTTATGGAGTATCTCTATCTTTCTGCTGGGATGTTGTATCCCATTATCTCGAATTGGGGCTGATAGAGATGGAAGAAAACCCCATCATGAAGTAAGGAAAATTTGTCGATGAGGCTGTAAAACAGTAAACATGAATTACAAATTGATCTTGCAGAAATCATGTTCACTTTGTCCTTTATATTATATTACTTACGAAACTCACTTTCTATCTCTGGTTCTAATTTTTGTCCGAAGAAGCGTTGTTTTCTCTCATATTTCATTGCTCATTATGTTTGTCCATACAGTTACCATTTTATAATGTTAGTTGTGAGGGAGGAAGTGAATGGATGAGTGAGAGAGAAAGAGGGAAGCAATGCACAGAGAGAGAAAGAGTGAAAGAGAGAAAAGAAAGGGAGATGATACTATGTGTACATTCTTGTGTCACAAAAGCTTGTGAAAGCACATTGTTAATTGTTTTTCATGGAGGATTAATTAAGTAATATGTGAGGCAGCGTTGTGAAATCGAGCCTTAGCCAAAATAGTGAAATCGAAGAAATAGGCAGTTTCCTGTCAGTTTGGCAATTTTTGTCTAAATTTTTTGTTTTTTGGCTTAACACCTTTTATGTCGATTTAAAAACACATTTCCATGTGATTACTGAAAAATAATGATTAAAAGCACAAAAGATGTGATTTTTTTCAGTTTTCAAAGACTCTCAAACTATTGAAGTTATCAAAATTTTGCAACCGACTTCTTTCTAATTTTACCTATTAAACTTGGCAACCCCTCCTCCTTCAATTGCAAATATTTCTACTTCTATTCCAGATAGATGAGTATTTTGTAAATCGAAAGAAAGGCAAGTGAATAAGCTTTCAGATGATACCAATAGCTGTACATGACTAAAAATTGACGAGTGCCTGATTCCACCACATTGTGACACATATATAATCTTATCTATCTTGTCTAACACCATCACAGATGGAAGAATTTTGTCAACTCTTGCTGAAGTAATCAAAGTCAAAATATAGAAAGTAGTCTGACAATACCTGCTGGGGAGAATTTGTATCTTAAGTAAAGGGTGTCTTTAGATGCAAGTTATTGTTCAAAATCGAGTCGAATTATGTGGGGCCCCCTACTGAATAGATTTTGTTTTAAATGTATGAATGTTTTGAGACTGGTTGATTGTGTATGAAGTAGGCTATTATCTGACATTATTTAGGAAGTGTTTTATGTTAACTGTTATACCGGTTCTATCTCTTCTTCTCTCCTACCCCCCGGGGCGGTGCCACTGACTGAAGTGTCTTTAGGCCATTTCCAAAGGGGGGACATTTCTCGTTCTAGTGCACAGTAGAATTGTAAATGGGCTGATCTAACAAAGTCATGCTCATAACTGTGCCTGAACTACAACAGGAAACTGCTGCTTTTTCTTTCCTAATCTTTACTATCGTCATTTCCTCTACTTCTTTTGTATGTTTGTCACACACTTGTGACCCGCTATTTCCGGGGCGCCTTGATAGTCGAAGCAGACTGTGCAGCTGAAGATAGAGAGGTGAGCAGAGTAAGTCTGATTCCCTGTAAGGACTACTCTGTTGACATTCACCCCTTGGCGCTCATATGACCTTATGCAGTTGCGAGCGCTGTAAAACTTCTACTATAAAAACTTCTTCTCTCCCCTCTCCCCCCTACTTCAAGATAATCAACCCCTTAAGTTTTTTTTAGCTCATGACAGTTCCTATTGAAAGACTTTATATTGCCAGTTTGAGGTCATACTTGTAGTGCATATCAAGCATATGTTGGGTAAAAAATTATTGTGTATACTACTGGCATACTGCTACAGACCCAAGTAAATAACAACGCCATTGTTAGAATGATCATGTGCTTAATGTGAAATGTGACCATTGTGTGTGTGTTCAGGTGGAGTGGACACTACAAGAATACAGTTGGGTTGGATATTCCTGGTCATTTCTACACGTCCAGACATTAAGGAGAAGGTCCAGGAGGAAGTTGACAGAGTTATTGGTAAGCACTGCGCCATTATCATACCTTCTATCATTTGTCCTTCTCAACATGGTTTTACCTCTTAGCGCGGCATGTTCTACTTATTACCACCTATAATGATAGTGTCAGAGGGCGCCACTGGTCTTACTTTCTTCTCAGTTTTTTCTGTCATTCTTACTTTTTCGCGTGATCTCTTGATGGCAGTAACAATATTCTTTTTACTTGAAACTAAGTTAAAGTTAAACAACTGTCCCTTGAGGTCGATCTGGAAAACCCATCACTCTTTCTGCTTTGTGATTAGGAATATGAAACTCATGCATTTTTGTGACATGGTGTTTAGGTGTATGGTTAGAGGAATGTGTCTTTGAGAATGATTCAATACAGTAGTCTCCGCCTAAACGCAAACCATATAAAAGCACGCTCCGCTCAAATGCACGCTTTTGTCATGATGGTTTTTTAAACTATATAATTTAGACGTACAAATGCACAGTCACTCCCTCTAAACGCACGCTCCAGTCTGCGTTAGGTGGTTACACACCGACAGGTAAAGCTTGACAGGGGAAAATTTTCACTACAACCTGCACAGCCTGCATAAGACAAGCCTAGACTGCCCCTCACACCGAACAAAAGAGAGTGATGGACAGAGTTTTCACATCCAACTTTCCACAGACACATAGATCTAGGGTTGGTTGGTGAAATGTTGGGGGGTTGGGGTACTGAAATGTTTTTTGATTGGTCACTGGAAATGCATCTTTGAGAGAAGGTTTCTGACTACTGTTTGGGTGACTGCATGTAATGTTTTAGTTAGACCTTGGCCTATGATGCGTAACCCGCGTGAATGCTGTAAAACATAAGATAGGCCTCTCAAAGATTAAAGATTAGTCAAGTAAGCCTAATCAGTTGCACTTGAAGAACTTGAAGCGTACTTGTTCAATGAATCACAAGAGAAATGTTTCTCTGAATGTAGAAATCTATGATTCTGAAGTCGTTTGTGAATTTGCGGTCTGGGATGGTCGCTTGGAAAGCCACATGGCTTGGCTGTCGTCTCTATGACTATCACCAACAGTTTCCTCTGAGGCTATCTGTTCCCGACAGTCTATGGTGAATAATATCATACATTACGTTGAGTCTGCAACCGCCCCCCCCCCCCCTCCCTTTCCACACCTTTTAGTTTTAAGTTGTATTCTTAACCGCACATTGGGGGAATCCTTCTTGAAACAGTCACGTGTCTTAACATTATCGGCCAGTGACCCCCCCCCACCCCCAAGGGAGGTCACTAGAATATCAAGGCAATGAGATGACTGCTTCGCTTCCTCCCTTTGCTAAGGTTCATGTAAACGTACGCTCCGTGTAAACACACCCTAAAGAGCCCTCCGGAGCAGCGTGCATTTAGGCGGAGACTACTGTATCTCTAGCTCAAAAACAGGGCACTTCACAACAGCAACTAGTAGTGGAATGTTACTGTTTCTGTTCCCATTTGTGATATTGTGATACCGTTGCTTGTTATTAATGTTATGAATGTCATTGTAAATAAATCTCTCTACCGGGATCAACAAAGTTTTTTTCTTTCTTAAACAAGTACTATGTTTCACTGAGCTCGAGGGAGTGGTTACAGGGCCCTGCTAGTGAGTCCTACTTTTTCCCTCTGTTGTTTCCATCTGTCTCTTTTAGTGTTTCATTGCACTAAATAACTATAATTGGCCAATGTGCATGTCTTTTCCCTAACAGTTAAAGAATTGGGCTCATTTTGTTGCAGGGGACAAGATACCAGGCAAGGAGCACAGAGCTAAGCTGGTCTACACGGAGGCCGTCATGCTGGAAGCGATGAGACTGTTCCCAGTGGCCCCCCTTGGAGTGCCTCATGAGACCCTGCAGGACACAACCATTGGTGGGTAGAAGTCGTGGGAGAGTGGGTGGCACTTCTCACAAACATGTTTCTATTTATAAAACTAGGACTTAAATGTGCTCAATTTGTCACAGCACAAAGCCACTGTGCATTGTACCATCTTCGTAGGTTATACAACAGTAATTTATAAGGGGTTGACTGGTTTTATAGCTCTTTATAGTAATTTTCTTCATAAATTAATAGTAAAGGTTGAATCATGTTCATTTGTTAACTTTTATTATTTTAAAGGCTGACTGTAAATACACGGTATACACCTAAATACCGCACAGAGTGGGAGCTGGCAGTAAATACACAGTATACGTATAAAGACCGCACAGAGGGGAGCTGACAATAAATACACGGTATACCATACGTGCAAAGATATGGTATACCGTGGGCTTGCAGCCCGGGTCGGTTTTAGGCCCCATTTACACATACAGTTCATTGATCGACAAACTGTAGGATATCGAAACGATTTTTAAAAACTGTACGTCTAAAATGGAACTTCTCTCATCGACAAACTGTCAGTTTAACGATGACCCAGATCTAGTGTCCATCGGTTAAACTGTCAGTTTGTCGATGAATGAACTGTATGTAAAAGGATCCTTAAGAGTGAGATACACGTATAGATCTTATTCTGGCTGAAGGCCTAGATTTCTGGGCTATTCTCAATTGGTAACCAACGGCAAAGTAGGTCTAATGGAAATCGTCAGTTGTGCTTCTGCTTTGGGTACCAGCACCAATGGACTTCGCACGCCTTGAGAAAGTGGGTCACATGGACATAGTGTTGTGGTATACTAATCCAAACCTGTGTGGGTTTTTTTTAATCTTCTTTCACGAAGAAGGCTCCCTAAGCCAATGGTTCTTACCCTTCCCAGAAGGTCGATATTTACTAGCAACTAGTACGTCGTAACCCAAAATAGACCAGACCTTTATGTGTACACATGTAGGCCTACATGTTGATGTAGTAAAATACATCGTGACCCATTTTTGTTTTTGAGGGGAAAATAACCTGATGATGCATGAGTTTTTAGACGTGACAATAACATGATAAGTACTTGGCTGGGGAGAACTGTTGTAAAGAAATGTGTCTCAGGCATACTTTGGACCAATACAGCCGACTACGGATGAGTTGATGTCATCGGGGGAATGAAAAAAGATCAACTCATCCGAAGATCAACTTTACCGTCGGGACCACAAAACAACAAAGTTTTTCCCCAGCTCATGCTCATAATAATACATTATAATTTTAGTCGGCCACTGTGGTAAAAATCGTGGCGACAGGAAAGGTTGCCGAGAGATTTATTTATTCACGTCAATCATCACAGCGCGGGTGTCTCACCGTGAGCACACGTGCGTGTGTGTGTGTGTGTGTGTGAGAGAGAGAGAGATAGAGAGAGAGAGAGAGGGAGGGGGGGGTTGCAAGCGTCCACTGACGGCTATACTAGTAATATGCTTGTAATCGTAACATGTAACTCTGCAACAATCTTATCAACTTGCATTCTCACTGCGCTGATTAAGTTTTGTATTCCTAGTAAAACTATGACCGTTTGCCATGTTCTTAATTCTCACAATGTACAATGTCTGTTATACACAAACTGTAGATCACTACTAAAACCCCTTGAAAAGTGAACGGTATTACCGAAAAGAACGTTTTACACAGGTATGTTTTAGGTAAATAACGTTTAGATGGTAACAATTCTTACTGGAACTCCAAACTATTGAAAGGAAATATTACACTAATTATTAAGTTACTGTCGAGAATACTTTTTCAACCCAATATGTTATGCTGAAATGTTACTGTATTACCCAGTATTCATTGTCTCATGATGCACCATACCCTTTGACTTTGACCTTGAGTGGAGGAGAAGCCGCAACGGACGTGGTTATTGCGTCATGGTGTCAAATACTCAAGGATCTTAATAGAAACTCTTTGATCTGAGCCCACACCCGCTCTTCCGCTTCCCTCTCTGTACTTGATCACTCTTTACCATATTCATTTTGTTTTCAGAACCAAATAAATTTCCTGCCCTCCCTTAGCACTCGCCAAATAGAACAGCCTGTGAGCCATATATTGAAAGCACACTATAAGATCATCTTCATGAAGAACTAGACCTGACACAGACATCGTCCATCATGGTTCACTATTCTTTTCTCTGTATGGGTGCTCTAAAAAAACACACTCATTACATATATTATATCTTATGCTTTCACCGTCACCCACAATTCAAGTTCTGTAAGTTGTTCTTGGTCTACTGACCATCTACGCCTGCCTCTTTTGCCTTCTATTTTTTTTTTCAGTGAGAGCAATGATCAAGGCGTTTATGTTGTAGAAACTGCATTAAAATTTGTCTCTTCCTAATACTTCACATTACTGTATGGCTTCTCTCACTATTGCCTCATTTCATTTCCTTCCATTATTTAATCCTCAATGTCTCCTAAGAAACCACATCTTTTTGCTTTTATTTATTTTCACTATATTATAATAAGATACTGATTATTGTTATTGGGTGGTATTCTAAATAACATAGGCAAAAAACAAAAAAATCATTCTTAACGTAACGTAGTGGTGGACCGGCAGCATGTTGCCCGGACTCTGACCCTGTGGTCACGATGACCTCACGGCATGTGCGCTCACAAACTAAAGTATCTTGAATGTGACACAGTGCGAATATTTATCTATCACAGTGTACGGGTGTAAACACCCGGTCACTAGATAGGCTATAAGACATGAAATGTGTCACAGGGGATAGGGTTAAAAATTTATGACTCAAAAATGGCAAACACAGGGGGTTTTTCTATGTTATATTATATAAATGTCTGGTCTATTTTGGGGTCACCACGGACAATGAGGGCTAAAATTCTCTTTGGTGAGGGGGTATTAGGGCCTACGTAATATATAATGCCATAACCTGCTAACACAAAGCCACCAAGTTACCTCTCAAAGCTACCAGGTTTTAGGGCGGTTAGGGACAAACCAGAAGATAGTCAAAGGAGGGTTGTCTTTCCGAGGGCCTAGTAATTCAGAATCAGATCTAGATCTAGGTCTCTGCATCTGATTGGGCAATTTCAAAAGGTAGGCTAGGCCTATGCTTTACTGTGATTGGCACTTTCAACAATTTATGTTTTAGTAATTTCCTCCACCAAACGGTCGGTTATCATAAGCCAAATTGGTATCCTAAAACTGTCCTCTTAAATTCTGCACGGTGGGGGGTCTAGCAGTAAATACACATATATCATGTATTTTACCCATACCCTATTTTAAAACATGTGCAGCGGTGTGAAAGGCGAACATTTTGTGAGAGACTGAACTGAGTCTTGTTGACTCCAACCAGGTCAGTGCGTAGATTTGTTGTTTGGGATTTTTTTTTTCTATGTATTCGGTGTTCTCTCACAAAGTAGCCTACCTGTTAAAGCAGCTTACTGCTCCAGCCTCAAGAAAGTGAGAATTGTCTGTGAAAATGCTAAAAGGAAAAAAGTGCGTCATGATATTGCCCACTGAGGGTCTTGAAAAGTGTTGCAATAATACTAGGACAAGGAGAAAAACATTCGCTGTTTTTTTCAATCGTGGATCAGTTTAACTTCAGGTTTCAATATTAAATATATGTGTGTATATATATATATATATATATATATATATATATATATATATATATATATATATATATATATATATATATATATATATATATATATATATATAATAACTTTTGGCAGGATCAGTCCCATACATGCTAGGTAGCTCCCCAAAGATAGGATCTGTCTAAAGTAAAAACTTGGCGGGGGTTTCTTACCTTTCAAAATACCTGTTCGTTTTGTATAAACCTGATTTTTTTTTAATCTATAGCTGCCATTAACCCAATTAGACCATATGCAATGAGGAACATGGAAATACACATTGCTTTGACATATTATGTGTCATTAATTTTTTAACCTGATTTGCTTCTACAAGTATTTAAATTTATGAATGTCACAGACTTGTTGTTTCGTGAGTTTACTAGCGTGAGTGACCTTTTTTCTCTCACTTTACTCTCCATTTTGTTAAGGAAAGATTCTGAGAAATTCTCCTATTTTTGGTCTTCAAGGAGTTGGCAGCTGTGTATAGGCGAGGCTTTAAATGAAAAAAAGATGGGTTTTTTTATGTCCAGGTGTTCTTTTGTATTATCCGCAAAAGATTTGTGCCAGTTGCCTATCTAGTCATACATCATACAGATTGACCTGTTCTACCATTCTCATGTAATGCAACTTAACCCTTTAAGGATGGATCAGCCACATATGTCCAACCAGCAGACCAAAGGCAGTGTTGAGGCACATTTCAAACCACCATATGCAAATCAGAAACACAAACTGCATTATTTCAAAGTATGTATGTTGTCGCCTACCTTTGTAAGTTGCAGATAAATAAGACAGAAATCTGTAGGAACAAAGAAATTATGTTTCTTTAAACTAAGTAGCGTAATCACGGCCCAGGGATGCCACTGGACTTTAGTAAAAATAACTGAAAATTTTTTTAGACTAGATTTAGCATGCGACAAAGCAATAAATGCAACAAAACTATATCATATCAGTTCAACAATGAAACAAAGTTCCGTACGGACGATGCCCAAAATAACTGAATGACGACTTCCCTGTCACGGCCTCGCAGCCTTAGTAGTTTCGGTGAAATCGGGTCATTCAGATCGCTGTTTCTTTGCTCTTTCGCTATAAAACACCAAATGCTGTACACCTTGCAAAAGTTCAGCCTTTCCTAGTTACAATGGTGTAAGTTGTATATATATATCCGAAAATAAAGAGCTGGAGAATCGCAGTGGAAAGCGAAGCCTGTCGTGGTCGGAACGCATGGTCAGCCGGTTCAAAAATTGACATGCATGCATTCAAATGCTTTGCGGAAAGATTGATGATGAAATACCATCTCTTTATTGGTGAAGAACTGTAGAGCTTTGAAAGGGCTTTCACGTAGTATATTTTTGGCCTTTGGTGTTTAAATAGAAAGCCTTTAAAAATATCGTCAAAGTTTTCAAAGATCATTTTTTTACACAAAATATGTAAAATACCGGCTCAAAAAAGATACCAATAGAAAGAACAGCTCATTTTCTATTAGGATAAAGTGATCGGCTTGGAATTATTTTCCATCAATCCTTCAGCGATACTCGGAAAGCATGTGACCCCCCACACAGGGAGCATTCAGTACTCTATAGTCTGTCCTCAGAGAAAGTTGTATTTGAAAATAGCAAAAGTTGCCAAAAGTTGCAAGAAAAATCAACATAAGTTGCAATAGCTAAAATGCCATGGAATTATTGGAATACATTGTTGGTATGCTCATTGCAATCAAAGTAACCAACGTGAGCTTAGCTGGATCAAAATCAAAAGTTAAAAGTGAATGTCTACCGTACCCCCTCCCCCCAAAAAAACCCAACTGCATGGAGGGTGCATAGTGTACATGTGTCAGGTTCTTAAACTTAAACTCCCGCTGACATTTGGCAGGTGTGACCAGCGTGGTTTTGGGGCTGTTCAAATATAATCGCACACCTTTTTGGGGATTTTTGTCCCCCCCCCCCCAATCCCATAATACTAATATGTATTTGCTTATAATAATATCACATTTATATTGCGCAAATCTGTGTTACAATCATTGGTCTATGCGCTTTACTTTTACATAATAGTATTCATGAAAAACATGCATACACACATGTGACATAATAAATATGGTTCATGTATTAGCGTAACTTTTCCGGAAAAGTGAATAGCAGAGTTTACTCCTTTTTATGTCATGTTTGTTTAAAAAAATTATGTTGTCATAAATTAGTTTCCTTGTTATTTTTTCACCTTACAAAAGTAGTATTACGTTGGTTCAGAACCCCCCTTTTCTTACACTTTTCTTTTACAGGAGTCAAACTCACCCCCACCCCTAATAGCTGTCCCCGGGGTTTTATGCAACCCGCATAATTTAGCAAAATTTGATCATTTTTTGCATAATTTCTGATTATTTTCCTTTATCATTCTTTGTTAAAATTAACAGAATCGCATAATTTCACATTTTTTGGCTCAGTTTGCATAATTTTAGAATTTTTCTTGCATAAAACGACGGGGACAAGGCTTTTTCCAGGCGTAAGATTATATTTGAACATCCCCTTTAGGGTTATTCTGGATGAATCGAATCATGTCTAGATCTACCCTCCTAGCCTAAGATTTAAAGTCTTTCTCAAATTTTTATACTAGTTCTATCTACCTGGTGCTACAGAACCAAGCAAGCTAAGTAATCAGACGATCGTGTTAACGATTGAGTTTACTCTATAGATATCTAGATCTAGAAGAAGTAGAAAAGATGATTCAGTTCAAACAGGACTATTGGGGAGGTCAGTCAGGAAGGGTCGGTTTGCTAGACAGACTGATGGCGCAAAGTGCTGTCGTGGCACAAATCGATCGCACCCAACTCGTTGCCTAAAAAACAAAAGCGTTTTTTCAGGTGCGCCCTGTAGTGCAAAGAAGTGGATATATCTAATTTCAGGTACGAATTGTCCCCCGTCGTGTCATTATTTTAAGTTGTGGAAGACAATTTCGGTTATTTTTACCGAAATTAAATTATTATTTTTCCAACTTTTGCAAAAAAACTGCCTAAAATTTGCGAATTCACGAAAATGGCAAAAGTTGCACAAAAGTTGCGCTGAGGCCAAAAGTTGCATGCGCAACTTGTGGGTTGCGCGCGCTAATTTCTCTGAGGACAGTATAGTATAGAGCCAGCTTGCTCGCCACAAGGGGCAGTGCGACGCCGGCCGGGACAACACTTTGTGTTTTTGTCGAAATAGCGATAAATCATTGTGTTTGAGGCAAAAAAAATACTGATTTGTACTGATCTCACAGTCTTGAAAAAATATTAGGTTCCATCTATGTTATAGTGGTTGTACTATGTTAATGTGGAGATGTTTGGTTCCCTTGGTACTCTTTTATTATCTGTCAAACATGGGGTTGCAGCCTGTTAGCGACTTTAGCAAATGTTGATATTTAAACAGCTACCATTCACTTTGGTACCAAAATTCTCAGGCAATATACGCCTTTCATGGAACAGATAAATTTGGCATACATCTACTTTGAAAATTTAGTTTCTGGTACGGGGGCTCTCGTGGCCTAGAGGTTAAGGTGTTGGCCTCTCATTCAAAGGTCCTGGGTTCGAATCCAGGTAGCGACCGAACTTTCCTATTTTCTAGCAATGTTCTGTCGTCTGCTTTCATCTCCTCTTTCTGCCCCCACCCCATCACCTCCTTTGCCCCCTCCTCTGGGCTCCTGACTCTTTCTGCAGCCTTTCTACTGCTACTCCTTGGCTCCTTCTTACTGCTGTCTTTCAGCCTCACCCCTGATCTTCTGGTAGGAAAGATCTACACTTAACCTTCTCGGATAAGGGCGAAAAATCTCGGAGGGCCCATGTGCAAGTTGCGAATGTTAAAGACCCTTTGGTGGTCTAACATCGATAAGAGTAGGTTTTGGCTACCACCCGGGCAAAATTCAAAATTTCCTACCAATTGAAAAAGTGCAATGTGTCCCGTGCGCTCATATGACCTTATGCAGTTGCGAGCACCGTAAAACACTTACCCCCCCCCAAAAAAAAATCTTGTACCTATTTAAAGAGCCCTAAAGTATGTCTTTGTGGGTTCTGGAATTTTTAAAAAACGCTTTTTCAATTAGTTATCCTGTCTCATCATTTTCTAGGTGACTACGAGATCCCCGCAAAGACAACAGTGTTTCCCAATCAAATCGAAATCTTGCATGATCCAAATCTCTGGGAGGACCCACTCACTTTCAAGCCGGAGAGGTTCCTGGATGAATCTGGCACAAAACTAGTGGCCAAGGGACAAGGTTGGGTCCCATTCTCAATGGGTCACCGAGTGTGCCTGGGCGAGTCGCTGGCCAGACTTCAGATCCTCTACGTCTTAGCTGGCCTGGTGCAGAAACTCAACTTCAGTCTGAGTAAGGACAGTTGTCCGGACCTCAAGTGTAACCAAGACGGCTTGGTCAACAAACCCAAGAAATACAAACTGATTGTTACCAGCCGCTAAGATGGGCTCTGTAGCCTACATTATGTTTGAGCACTGAGAAAAGTGTTTCTATGTTATGTGAATCCATTCGATATAATGTAAGATGAAACATTTTGATAGCCTTTTCAGATCATTAAATACGATTTGTCAGTTCCAATTTTGTAACTGTTCAATTGACTACATGTAAATTTGTTATTTCTTGAATTGATAAAACATTTGCATTAACATTTCAATCTTTGTACGGTTGTTTTATTGAAATTTGTCTAAAAGTATTTTGATAAGAAAATGTGTTCGTTTTACAAGTAGTACTTACTAGTACCTTTATTAACATGTTACCCATTTATTACATTGCTTTTTGACCAAATATGTTTATTGTAATACATTGTTAGAAAGGGTTTCTAATGCCCATAAGATATAAACATAAAGAGCCAGGCAAATTGATTGTAATTGATCCCCTCCGTCTGTGATCATTTTTTTAAAAAAAATAATTGATGGGCATGTTTTTGCTGTTGTTATGCTGTCAATGCTGCAAATTTGAACTGGATTTTGGGACAAAAAAGTGAGTACTGTTGTTGTTTTTTTAATGATATTTCAGTTTCAGAGTTTGAATTTTTTTCCTGTTAAATCTGGGTTCCACTGGAAAGAGAATTAAGTGCGCTTTGACTCTGACTGAAAACAAGATATTGTGTAAAACAGAAATAATGACAACAACTACAACTAACAAGTCAAATAGTTTCATGGATATCTGATGCATTAGATTTAAGTTCTACAGTCATTTCAGCAAGTGATTTGACAGCTTGAAACAGGAAGCTCAACTAGCCAAAATTATTTCACGGAGTGGGTTTTGTCGAAATAAAGAGAAAGATATCTGTTTGGCTTGTCATTTTGCAGTTTAATGATAATAGAGCGTTTGTATGCCACAAATTCCCACTCAACAGCAAGCTCTAGGAACTTTACAATCTATATCATTACCCTAGCAGACTTGATAGCATTCTGAAACAATCTCAACTTCATGGGAAGCATGCAGTGCAAGCTGCCATTTATTGGTGCTATAACACAAACATAATGCACTTTCTATGGCCGGGTACCTATTCTGACATTGGGTGAAGTGAGGAAAATTCTTGTAAAGTCACGAGCTGCAGCTCGAACCCCCAAACCCGCAACCGTATAGACAAAAGTAACAGGAAAATTAGATAAATAAGATCTGCCACCCACTTCATCGCATGATTGGATGGCCAGAGGTAACATACCGACCAAAACCTCAGGAGGTGAGCAAAGACTAATAAAGTTTTGTGAAGGATTCTGTAATTGTAGTGAATCTAGGTCCTGTTCCAGTGAGGTGCAGAGAGGCTGATGTTTGCAAAAAATGTTAATTTATCATTCCAATAACCAGGTCTCTACCATCTGTATACTCAGTAGCATTCTGTCAAATTTAATTAGTTCTTGTTCACCCTGACTGAAACCAGCCAGGTAAATGTGCTGGGCGAGAATCCAACAGGCCAAAAACTGCCAGGCTTGCTCCTTATTTCTTCTATGGTAAGCTTGGCTATGGTGCTGATAAAATAGTTCACAAGATTTTTGCTGTTGACTGTTTGGGTTTTTTTCAACAAGTGAGGAAAATGTGTCAGAGAAAGTTGTTGACCAAATGGACACCCATTGATGGCAAGGAATGTGAACAAGAAAAAAGAAAGGTTTAATTTCAGCTCTCTTTCTCCACATGCATGAGTTGACCCACATTTTGCACTGCCTTTGTAATTTGTTTACGAAAATGAAGAAGTCTGTGACATCTTGTCTTAGTTCTCCTGTAAGTAAGATACTCATGCAGCAAATACTGTGCATTAAGTGCAGTCTATTTTGATTAAATTCAGCAAGAAATTGTGCTTCAAAATGTTTGTGAGTTTTAGACTTTTTAAACAAATGAACTGTATTTTTGTTAATCATGACTGAGATATTTCGAAATGTTTTATTATATAAATGTTAATGTTTCTGATATTATAAAATGATTTTCCAATTTATTCGCCTCAGTGACTCTAGTGCAGGGCATGGACATCAGATACTGTATGACACAGATACTGTCTTTTAGCAGTTGATATGGATACTTCTTTTGATTTCATGTCTTCAATCTAGTTTTACAGATTGTAATCTATATATATATATATAGATAAATACTTTGCTATTCTATAAAAAAATGTATCTTCATTTTATATATATATTTAAACTTTTTAGAATGTCTATTTTTTTACTTTCTTATGGTTCTCACCAGTTTTGAATGTTTTTACTATACTATTAATGTATGTTGGTTTTTTTAAACTTCCTTTTGATCTTATTGCCCATCTTTTCACATATATCCTCATACTATGTACTGGGTGAAGAAACTTCAGTTTTCTTGTCAAACTACTCACTTCTCAAAACCGGTTTTAAAAAACACTACAAAAAAAGTTAATAAAAACCAACCTATTTACTTGGAACAAATTGTTGTTTCTTTTTATTAAATGAGTGTGCTAAGTAGTATTAGTATATTGTTGTACCAGCAGTCTTCACTGATATATCTTAGTACCCATTTTTCTCTCTTACATTCTTACAATCTTACAAGTAGGGGCCTACAGTAGTCTCTGCCTAAAAGTACGCTCCGCTCAAATACACACTTCCGTAATATGACGTGTTTTTTTTTTACTATATATATAATTTAGACGTATAAACGCACGGTCACACCCTCTAAACGCACGCTCCGATCCGCGAAACACGTCTGACAGGTAAAGCTTGACGAAGGGAACTTTTTACTACTGTACAACCTGCACAGCTTGCATAATAAGACAAGCCTATACAACCGTTGGTGAGACGAGACTGCCCCTCACGCCGAACAAAGAGAGTGATGGACAGCGTTTTCACACCCAACTTTCCACAGACACATAGGTCAAGGACTGGTCGGTGAAATGTTGGGGGGTTGGGGGACTGAAATGTTTTTTGAGTGGTCACTGGAAATGCATCTTAATTCTTTGAGAGAAGGTTTCTGACTGGTGTTTGGGTGACTGCATGTAATATTTAGTTAGACCTAGGCCTATGATGCGCGACACGCGTGAATTCTGTAAGACACTAGATAGGCCTCTATAGGATTAAAGATAAGTCAAGTAAGCCTAACAGCTGGACTCGAAGATCTTATAATGTGTTCAACGAATCACAAGAGAAATGTTTCTCTGAATGTAGAGATCTATGATTCTGATGTCGTCCAGGAATTTAGTATTTACAGTCCGGGGTGGGCCGCCGTCTCTAGGACTATCACCAACAGTTTCCTCTTAGGGCAGTGGCGGGGCGCCATTGGTGCAAGCACTCCACCTAACCCTGGCCTTCCTTCACCCCCCCCCCCCCCCCCCCCCCCATTTTGTAATTATTCTAAACCAGTCTGTGCAATCAGTGCTCTAGATACTAGTACAGTAGTCTCCGCCTAAGATCCCGCCGCATACGATCCCGGTTCGCTTAAGATCCCGCTGTTTTAAGAAAACAGAATTTTTACTATACAAAAGTCACCCCTAAGATCCCGCTCTGATTCACGATGAAAGTCTACATTCGGCTACGATCCCGCATTTCAGATCATAATTTGCGGAACAAAAACCCGGGCGGGAACAGCCGATCAACCAAGAGTGAAAAGTTGAGATCAATAAACTGTCCGTCGTATTAAAGATCAGTCACTATCGTGAATGTGATCACATACACGTTGTAAAACTCGATGAAGCGATACAATGTTTGCCCCAGACGGAATCACAACGGGGTGTGAACTGACCAACACGTTTGTTTTCCCCGAACATCGCACTCACACCTGAGCTCTCCCCCCTAAACTTACATCACTCGCTGGGTGGGTGGGGCCTACATGTTCGCACCAGGCGGGATCACATTGAACAGTGAACTCTTCCCTGGCCATTGCAGCAGTTGTCTCTACTCCCGAATTCGGGAGACAGACTGAATTTTAATTGATGTGGTCACAACGTAATGGTGAGTAACGACAAAGGCGGTTCGGGGGGAAGGGGGGAGGCGGGGACTCGGTCAGAGATGGAAAGCTATAAATGTTCTACAGGTAAGGGGGAGGGGCAACTGGATAAGCGTAGATCCTGAGACTCATGATAGGATAATAATGTGAAAATTGCTCGCCTCATCCCACTATGCACTGTAATAGGCCATCAAGGTTAACCACTCTTTGCTCGCCATATTATTATGTCATAAACCCACCAAGGGTTCACGTCAGTTCATTTAAGAGTGGAGGGAGACCATTTTACAGATCGTGAGCCTTAACATGGGTCACATGTGGGTTCGTCGGTTAAGATCCCGGTTCGCTTTAATCCGTGCGATCCGTCACCCGCTGGCTGCGCGAGCGGCAATGAAGAGACAGACGGCGAGGCGCTTTTCCCTTTCGTCAACCCGCAGCCACCTCCCGAATCGTCAACCACCCCCAACCTTTGACACGGGTCAAACTTCCATCTATTTATAGGTAGTTAAATCTACCGGAACATGTATTAGGCGAAGTGATGTGCAATGATAGTCGCACTAGAGAGATTGTTTTGGTCTCTCTTTACTCATCTGCACCACACGAATTTAATTGATGTTTTTCCCTGGACTCTGCCTTTACTAAAGTCTAGTAGTAATCTAATTGCAGGTTGCAGATTTAATAAATTGCTCTGAGAGAGAGAGAGAGAGAGAGAGAGAGAGAGAGAGAGAGAGAGAGAGAGAGAAGGGGGAGGAGTAGATCTTGCGAGAACTCTCGGGCAAAGCAAAATGGCGACCCGCGTAGTTCGGTCGATTCGAAAAGTGAAAGAGCCATAGCATCTTTGTAGACGATCAAATTAGCTTTCTTTTGTGCTATAGCGTCATTTTTTTCTTTGCTTTTGTCAATTTGATCACCCACACCGATAGAAAGCATTTCGAAATTAGGAAAAACAGGTCTTGTTTCTCACTCGGTGAGAATAGCCAACGCTGGCAAGTCTCACCCGGGGTGAGAGGTCAATCGTTGGGTTTTTATTCTCACCCCGGGTGAGGATAGCCACTTCCTTACTTAAATGATTAGGTGATTAAACTTGATCTCTTATTGACAATATAAAAGTCAATTTAAGCTTCATTTCGTTAGAAAACAGCGTGTTAGGTTTGCTAACTTCATAGACTTTGTGTTAAACAACACTTTTAACAAAACGAATCCATACAAACCTAGGCTTGGCCTTTGTAATCTCGAAGGTTTAGAAGTAGAAGTAGAAGAGTCTACTACTAGAGTCTAGTCCAATTTATTTAATCTCTTGAATGTACTGGATAACAACAGAAATCTGCAACCTGCCACTAGATTACAACTCTAGATCTAGATCTAGGTTCGAGATTTTAGTAAAGGCAGAGTCCAGGGAAAAAACTTCAAGAAATTCTCGTGGTGATGAGTAAAGAGAGACCAAAACAATCTCAATAAATAATATATCGCGACTATCACGGCACATCACTTCACCTAGGGCCTATACATGTTCCGGTAACTACCTACTACCTATAAATAGATGGAAGTTTGACCCGTGTCAAAGGTTAGGGGGTGGTGACGATTCGGGAGGTGGCTGCGGGTTGACGAAAGGGAAAAGCGCGACGGCGAGGAGGGTTTATGCTCTTCACACCGCTTGCGGTCGTGTCTGCAGGGAGCAAGCAAAATCTTTGCACCAAAGTTATTTTTGTCACTGTAGAGAAATCTAGGAATCGTTCTTCCCGCACAAGAAGAAAGGTGCGTGAAACTCCTCTTTGCAGCGCCAATTTGGTGCAAGCTAAAATTTTGATCCAAGTTTCCGCTAGCATCTACTACACTAGAGGTTACGGTAGGCCTAACTCAGTGAAGAATGAGTAGATCTATCGAAACTGTTGTCTCCCTCTATTGTGTAGCAAGTCCTGTTAAGGACAGTTAAGGTAATAAACTTCCAAATTGAGTCTGGTTGTTGGTGCTGCACGAAGTAGATCTAATTATAAATCTTTAAATCTTCTCAGGTTGTGAGCATAGTGAGTTGTTAGTATTGTTTCATTTTATTGCAGCTTTTATGCGGTTTCATCTAGAAACCGTTGTAAATATCGAAAGATGTAGATTACGGGATATCTTGCAGATTCTAACTGACTTTCTCTAGAAATCTAGATGAATCACGTTAACGCTTTGCTTCTTGTGCCATTCAGCAGGCTACAGTTAGAAGAGAAAGTGCGCGTAAAAGAGCTTGGTCCTCATTAGCCGCGGTATTTTGAGCTCAAGAATAAATTAGAATAATGTTCGCTCTTTTTCCTGTACGTAGTATGATAAGTATGAATGGCTTACGCTGAGCTTGTCCAACAAGAAATTGTACTGTTTCCATTGTGTTTTCTCTCTCTCTCTCTCTCTCTCTCTCTCTCTCTCTCTCTCTCTCTCTCTCTCTCTCTCTCTCTCTCTCTCTCGCACACAAACACGCTCAGAGAGACTCGCAGAAAGCAATAGAAAGAACAGACCACACCAGAGCGCCTGCGTACCGCTCATTACAATTTTAATAGTAGCTAGCTAGCCTATTGCTCATTTGTTCACTTTCCAATTATGCACCACCTTGTCTGCAAACCACGCGACGCCACTGCTTAGGCTATCTGTTCCCGACATTTTATGGTGCATAATATTATTATTATTACGGAACATTGAATCTGTCTCTCTGCCCCCCTCCCCACTCAACGCCTTTGTATTTTTAACAGCAGTCGGGTGAATCTTTCACAAAACTGTCACGTGTCGTCACATTATCGGCCAAAGTGATTTAAGTGACCCCCACCCACAGAATTCTACACTTATAGAAGCGGAACTCTGTAGAATTCTGTGCCCCCACCCCAAAGGGAGGTCACTAGAATATCTAGGTAATGAGATGACTGCGTCCCCTTAATTTATAAGCACACGCTAAGTAGGCGTTTAGGCGGAGACTACTGTATATGTATGATGTGTAGATCAAGATCTACCAAGGAGATTAAAAGTTCTAAACTCCTTGATGTGTACAAACCCCCACTTTCTTCACTGGGTGCAGTTTCTGTGAATTTGAGATTGGGGGAACACCAGCTTGTACTTGTAGCTGTCTTTATTTGGGACTTGTGAAGTGGGGAAAATACTGTGAAAGAATAAACGAAGAGAAAAAGACACACCTGCGCCTGCTGTTGAAAGCTTGCTTTCATTTAGTTCTTCTCGTTAACATAACAGCCAAAACCAAAAAACAGACGTAGCAGGTCAAGACGGTGGGCACTGGCCTAGTTGCCCCCCTCCAAACCCTTCTCACACACTTTTATATATATTCAATAAATTATGATAACTTTTCAATACATTGTATAATTCAAGTCATTCAAAGTAGACCTGCAGCAAAATATCTCTCTAATTCAATTGATTTTTTGGGGCTTCATTCTCAGTCGCAAATCTGGACTTGAAATTTCGTTATTTCTTTTCATCACCAGCAAGTCCATGAGGAGCAATACTGGAAAAA